CTAGAAAAGAACGCGTGCAATATATAAAAAACGACGCTTTATTCTCTTTTATGACGTTTAATATTATAGTTTGCAAATAAACAATTTGAACGGAGTATACCAATGTTGATAATACCAAACGTACGTTTAAAAAATTACATTTAAAAATTACAATATATTCCGTTACTTCATTTCTGTTATCTAAAAAATAAAACAATATTTTTTAAGAATAAAATCGATAAAAAATAACTATTGAATGATTATCATGTTAATATGAAATTCTAAGAAAATAAAAGTAATTTATAGCTATATAAAGCTAACATTATTTATATTATAATTATCTTTTTTATGTAATTTATTTTAATAGATTAATAGTTAGACTAGTTATTCTGTTACCAACCACTTGATTGATTTCAGCTGTGCATAGAATCATTATCGTCCACATCATCATCGTCATCATCCTCAAATTTGACACTTCTGTTATCTTCTTCGTCTTGCTCATCTTGAACATCTTGATCCGACATCTCTTCCCAATCGTCATCTGATTCACTGCTCAGGTCAATATCGTCTTTCTCGGCACCTTCATCCGATGAATCTACATATATTTTTGATAAGGTGATTTAATAAATATGTTAAATTCAATAAAATTTTGGATTATCGGTACATCATATTAACCTGGATCTTGATAAACGAGCAAGCTCTCCTCAGTTATATCTTTCGTGTGTTCCTCATTAGCCTGAGATATTTGCCCTGTTATAAGAGAAACTCTGCCTTTTAATCTTTGTATAGCCGTTAGAAGCGTTAATTTTGCGTCGATAAAACTTAAAATAGGGCTGAGCATCTCCGCGATATCTGGTCGCGACATCAAGTGCGCTGCATGAGTCATTATCAAAGTTTGCAACCACATTACTGCAATTTTACTCCTAAACACGGATGACATAATCAGTCTTTAAAAACATGAACACGCAAATTTTTAATAGTTAAAAAATTTAGAAAAATCGATAAATGAAAAAATGTAATATGATAATATAATTACACATATGTTTTGCCTTGCAACATAAGGGTTAATTCTTTAAGCAATGGCGTAATTGCTTGCACTGGTAATTTTGCAATGGTATTACGAATTACAGTTTCATTTTTTGTAAACAGCACTGTTGTCAAAATGGTTTTATCTTTGCTATTTAACGCTTGCATCAATAATTGCGTCATATTCGCTCCTTTCGTCGGTATCCTTCCTGGTGTATTTGCGTCTGCATTTAAACTAAGATTTTCCAATCTATCTTTTAAGAGTAATTGAGACCCTGAGGTAGTCCTACTTCTTTTCTGTGTTGGAATTCCTATTCCTATAATGCAGTGCTTTATATTTTTCTATCGTTTTTTCAACGTTGGTTGACCCACGTTAATCAAAACAATTTACTTTCATAATAAACTACAAGACGAAAGAGATTACCTGGTGCAAGGTATTCAACATCATCTTCTATCGCGGTAGGTTTTACTTTAGAAATCGTCTCTTCTTTCCTTTCTTTGGATTTTTTTGTATCCAATTTTTCCGATCTGATTAAACATTGCATCTTGTCCGAAAAGTCGGGCTTAACTTTCTCGAATGTCAAGTTGAGATAATTACCGTATGCTAGTAATAATTTTTCATCTTCAGTCAAGTGACCTGCTAAAATTGGAATCTGTTGAACAGTTTCCTTCTGATTGACATCTGCCGCTACCACTATGTTAAGAGACGGTTTCAATGGTTTAGTATGACCATTTGGCTGATACTTGAACACGTGTGCTTGACCCGATTGAGTAGTAACCAATATGACGACTTGCAATTCTTCCGCAACAAGAATCGAGATGGACGTGGCCTCGTCTTGCATGGCTAGGGTTGCTATCGATGCTTTATCATTTTTATTCTAAACAGAGATGAGAAGAAATTTAATATTGTAAAACATGCCTAGAATTATATACATACACGTATATCTATATGAAATTATATTGTTATGCAAGATGCATAGGGAGTTGCGTACGAGATACAAGATATATTAAGAGTAAATAAGCATCTTATCCTTAGAAACAATAATTGAGTCTTATCTTTAATTTTCAGTCGTTTATTAAACTATTGACATCTTTTTCTCTAAGAATCTTTCGTCTTGAAAGTGAATTAAAGACTTTTAGCATTTTACGCGCGCTAGTTATAGATAGCACTTGATATATATATTATATATAGAAAATGAGATAAACCGCAACGTACTTTGTCTAATGCCCATACAGAAAGATGACTGTCCGCACGAGCACCGCTGATTAGATAACTGGTTGTGCCGTCTACTTGTACCGTATGAAGAAAAGTGACGTGACCGGCATGTCCGGTAAACGTGCGGATTACGTGCTTGGTCGCTAAATTCCACCACTTGATTATTCTTTCGGCGGATAGCAAGGACTTTCCATTAGATAGAATCGCCAAGGCTGTGACTTTTGCCTTGCCAGATTTCCATTTACATTTGATTCCATTCTCCTGCAGATTCCATTCCACTAAATGATAATCGTCAGCCGCTGTAATCAATCCAGTACACGCTGACCAAACGATCGCTGTAACGGTGGAGGAATGACCGTTCTCCAACGTAGCGCTGACAGCGGCGGCTGCTACGTCGTACAAGGTGATTTTTCCATTCGTCGAACCCATCGCCACGACAGCTTTGCGGTCGCTTTCTTCCGAAATTGATTTTCTTCTGCGTCTCTTTCTCGGCGATGGCTTTAAAAAATACATAGAAAAACTATTGCGTCTCATTGTGCGTGAGTTTAATTGTTTTAAGTTAAAGAAAGCTTAGAGGGAGGACCAAGTCCAAGTATTTCTAACATATTTTTTTTTATTCATTTTTATCACATGTAAATATTTCGTCAAATCTCGCCGGAAATATATCTGCAAGAAGCATCCGAGCATATATATAAGATGAAATTAATTCAATGAAATTCATCTTACTTAACCTTTCCGAAAGTTGCGTATCGATAAAGTGTGAAGAAAGGATATGATGTATGCACAGGGCGAATGTTAGTCCGCGGAGTTGCGGGGACGAGGATTGAAAACTGTTGCGGTAAATGCATAAATAAAGCGAAAGAGAAAAGAGGAAAGAGGAGAGCACGTGGGGCGATGGCGCATTTACCGATACGTTGCCCGCCGATTGCGGACTCGCGGAGATCCATCCTATGACGCTGCAGGGTGACGATAAATGTCGATTAGGAGTATACTCGTGCTTCAACCGGCCACTCGCGGTCTCCCAGATCTTCAACTTGCCGTCATTACCGCAAACCGCGTAATACTGACCGTCCTGAGAGAAAGCAGAATACCCCGTGCTCGCCATCTTACTTGGACAAGTACACGACACACGTTAGAAATCGCTGATCGCTGCTGCGATCGCGAATCTCTTTATCCCAGAAAGACGCGTGCCCTCTCTTTTAAACCTAACCTCACAGCTGAGCAGCATGCAGCACGCAGCAGCGCAGCACGCGCGAATCGCCACGAGTCGCGAATATCGATTCCAATCCAATCCACGTCCTGCCTCTCCATTTCTCCAACGGAATCGATCCGGATTCCGGACAATCCGCGGACTCGGACCACTGACGGTCTGACGGTGACGGGCGACGGCACTGACCAATCGCAGGACTCGGATCGAGGATCGAGAATCGAGAGTCGAGAGTCGAGATTCTAGGTCGGTATTATGCTATATAGGTCTAAAATCTAAATGCGAGTCGCAAAGTCGTGAGTCGTAAGAATTGCCCAATCACAATTGAATTTGAGGAGAATAATCGACTGTGATTGGTCAATTCTTACGACTCGCATTGTAGACCTAGCATAAGAGCCAATCACGTTCAACTGCTACTGAGCGGCTTGGTCTGTTGAACGCGCCTAATACCCTGTGTCCACGATGCAAGAACTTGGTCCAAGTTTCGGTTTAAGCCAATCAACTTGCAGCTCTTACAGAAAAGTAGCAGTTTCATTGGCTTAAACCAAAACTTGGACACAATTCTTGCATCGTGGACACCGGGCATAATGATGCCCGTATCACACTAGCGATTGGCGATTGCGTCTACGTTTGCATTTACGTCTCTAGACCAATCAAAAAGTAGCTGCTGGCGCGTGCGATTCGCGATTTCCGTTCTGATTGGTCAAAAGACGTAGACGCAAACGTAGACGCAATCGCCAATCGCTAGTGTGATACGGGCATAATATCGCATTGGATTTATTATACGTATGTAGATGTATATATCGCGCATCAAATATTGCGCTTGGAGAGGATGGAGAGTAGTATGTATATAGTACACAGGTACACACACGTACATACATACATAATAAATTCAAAAATCCGAAAGTCATTCCAAAGAACCGTGCGTCACCGTCACCGGCGTCACCGATATATCACGAATAACGAATAACAGCCGCATGCCGCATGCTCTCTCTCTCTCTCTGATAATTTTGATTGGCCAACAGAACACGATTCTGACGATTCAACATGGAGTACAACGTGGGTACGTGCTGAATCCTGTTTATTTCTCGTGCTTTTCGTGAAAATTTCCGACATTCGACTACTCTTTGTTTCGGCTTTACCATCTCTCTTTTCGATCGCGTGAGAAATCCGACCGACGGACAGATCAAAACAGATAGATCGCGGCATTTCGTCGAATTCGAAACATCCTGTCGGTCCCTGTCCCTGTCGCATGTGCACACAGCCAACAGCCACACATGTGCATTGTGCTGTGTGCACTTGTGCATCGTGTACTCGTGCAGTGTGGCGTGTGCCAAGTGCCAGTACAGTTACAGTGCGTTTGTATTTGTATCTGTATGTCAGATAATTTTATAACGTTGATGCCTTGATGTTCGTCCTTGTCGCGAGCTTGTGTATTTGTGAATTATCCCGCCGAAATTCCGATGCAACGACGTACGTTTATTCCGTTTGACCGTTCCGATTTCCGATCGCGGAAATATATATTGGGAGATATTTCCCAAACGGGCGCGAATGTAGCTCGCAATTCTAACCTCTCACCATACTAACGATTAACCACTAGCCGCTAGCCGCTCGACGCCAGTAGCCAGGCATCTTTCCTTCGCATCGCATCTGCGCTTGGTATCGCGGTTGGCGCAGTAATCTCAATATTGCTCGAGCCAACTCGAGCTCTGAATGCCCTGATTCGCGATGCGATTAGTTAATCACATTTCCAAGATAGTTGATGGTTGTCGTGTACGCGCGACCGCGCCAGGAAAAATTTAGGGCTCTCGCCGATTACCACGTTGACGGTTGACATACAATATATATATATATATTTTTTTTTTTTACCTCTCTAGATACGGTAAAGAGCGACAACAATGACAGCTGTCGCAACTCGTCCCCTTGTCCGGAACTCACGTCGAATCCAAAGTCCATTGAAAATTCAGCGACAGATACAAAGGAATCTACGATGGAATGCGAAAACAATGTCGACAACTCGGGGGATACGGTCGTGGCGGCCACCTTGCAAGAACCATCCACAGAGAATATAGACTTTACAGTGATTTACAACAAACAGAAGATTAGTGTAAATTTTGCCTTCGATGGCACAGTTGCCGAGTTAAAGACATATTTGCAAAAAATTATCTCAGTACCACAAGCGATGCAGAAAGTTATGTTTAAAGGATTAGCCAAAGACGATCAGACTCTTAGAAACTTGGGAGTCACGAAAGGTACGAACCAATCGAGGCATACCGTTGAAAGTACATGTCTTGTAATCGTACATACGTATATTTTATTTACTCTTTGTGACTACGTGAATTATTAACTTACTTAATGAAAAATGCTCAAGGTGCCAAAGTCATGATAGTTGGATCAAAGTTAGATGACGTATTGGCTGTGTCAATTCCAACGAAACAAGACCTCATCGACGAGGCTGTTTCTTCGGTGAGCAAAGAACCTCTTTCGCAACAGAAAGTCCATAGGAAAGTTTTAGACAAAGGTATTCCAGAGGACGTGATGCCAGGAATACTAGATAGTAAGGTTGTATAATCTGTGTATTAAAGTGTTTTTTTTTTGTTTTTTTTATATGAATACCGCGACACGAAATTTGTTCTACTATAACTGATATCGGTTTAATCAAATGTAGGAACCTTTGCCTGAATTTCCATTAGCTGGAATGTTAAATAAGTCTGGAGGAAAAGTCAGACTAACATTTAAATTGGAACAAGATCAGCTTTGGATCGGCACGAAGGAAAGAACGGATAAAATACCTATGAATTCGATAAAAGGTGTACACAGTGAACCTATTCACGATCATCCTGAATATCATGTTATGGTATGTGTAGTGTATCGTTTAGACTTTAGCTCATCACTTGTTAGATAGAT